GGCGGGCTGCCGGAGCCGGAGCGCCTGCCCTTCTCGCCGCCGCCGCTGGGGGACTAGCACCTCTGGGTCCTAAAGGGATCGGATTTCCGGGGCCGGAGCCGGCGAGCCCTCCCCTTCCCCCCCACCCGAGCGTATTCCTCCCCGGCGGGCCAGCCTCCCGCTGCCCCAGACCTTGCCCAGTCCTCTTCAACCCTTCCATCCCAACCTCGGACTGCGGCTTGTCACAACCCACATAGCCGCACCGCCATTAAATACTGGGGGAAGGCAATCCAGCCTTGGTGATCTCTGGGAGGCCCCTCTCCTCCCCAAAAGTGAAGGGTGGGTTTTGTAGAGATGGGCAAAGGATCATTGTCTTACAGTTCCTGACCTCACAGTATATGCTTCAAGGCTATTAGCATCAAATTCTCTGCCGCTTGGTGAAAATACAGATTTCCAGGCCCTCCTGCAAACCCTGTGAAGGAGACTCTCAGAGACTAAACCCAGGAATCTGCAGTTTACGCCCCATAGAGAGCCTTTTGCCTCGAAGGTGTGAAACCTTGGCCCACGTGGCTGACCTTGCAGCGGTGGAGGAGGGGAAATGAAAAAAGGTGGTAGCCCCCAACTTCCTAGTGGCAGAAATCCCCCATGCTGCCCTTTGCCCTTTGGAAGTCTGAGGAGGGTGTTCTGTCACCTGCCTGCACTGCACCCTAGGGGAGTCTACCCCTTTTCTTCCAGCCTCTACCGACACTTTTGCCCTAAGCAGGAAGAAGGGGTTTGAGAAGAGGAATTCTAGAGGCCTGTTGCCTGTTTCCCCCAGAGAGCACTTTAACTCGGGTCTCTGATTTAAAGGATCCTAGCCCCTCTGTGCAACTGTGTCAGGGGAGGGTGACAGTGACCTACGCATCCCCTGCCCTGGCAACCCAGAAAGCTGCTTTGATGCATTTCCCAGCCTCCACAGACACAGCCAGGGTCTAGGGTGGCGCTTTATCCCTTCCCAGCTGCCTGGGCTCTGGAGTGAAGTTCCACCCCATAGACAGATCCAGATGTGCTGCTTCAGTCTACAGGGCTCAGAAACTGATGAACGCGGAGGACCCTAGGACCCAGAGAACAACTCAGGCACAAAGCCTCCCCCCCTCCGCCCCCCGCCCCAGCTGCTTCCTGCATCTCAGGCCTTCCTGCAGCCTCCGCCTCCTCCCCCGCCCTCTTCCCCTCCATCCTCTTCCTCCTCTTCCTAATCTCCCACTCCCTCCCCCCTGGCTTGGGAGGACTGTCAAAAGGAGTGCTCCTGGCCTTCCACTGTCGGCGTGTGTGGGTTTGGGGATATTAACCGGTTAGCACGTGCAAAAGAGCTCGGTACAGCGTGGGGGATGGGGTGTGGAAAAGCCGCCTGGGAACCCTGAGTATGGGGATGGGGAGGGGCCAGGAACCACAGGACTGGATTCTGAGGCTGGTGCTAAACGGGAGGAAGATTTGGGTTCTGAGTTGCAGCCGGAAATGAACCGGAGCCTCAAGCTTTCCAATGCCACCTGCATCTTCTTTGCCCAGTTGCCCAGTTTTACACGTCCCTCCCCCAGTTTTACACTTTGGGATGGGCATAGTGATGAGGCTATCCTCAGACTCCCCTCCTTTTTTCTTTTAAAGAATTATTATAATTGTAGTCATCGTCATTACTCTTTTTTTTTTTTTTTTTTTTTTTTTTTTTTTTAATGTGACCACAGTGCAACAGAGAGAGAGAAAGAGCCCACCAAGTTCCGGACTCGAACCGTGGTTGGCCGTGTGGGAGTCCAGCACCTTAACCACTTCACCACCTGCTGGCCTCTCCACTCCTTACCCCTTCTTAGAAGGCTTCTTTCAGGAACAAACCTTGGGACTTGGGTCAGAAGCTCATGGTTGGGAATTAAATCTCCCTGCAGCCTGCTTCCTACCCCCCACCCCCATCCCTACTGGGGAAGTTGGGAGAAGACAGGAATCACCCAGTTGGGGGCTGGGAGCTTGGGCAGAGTGTCCTCAGAAGCTCGAACTGAACTGGAGGAAGGCAAGGGCCCCTGGGTGTTCTGCCCAGATCTCCCACACCCTTGTGAGTCATCTTAACTGGTCCCAGCCCAAGGGGTCTGTGCCCACGCTTCTGGCCAGGTGGAGTAACCCCAGCTTCTGAGGGTGGGAGGAGGCCCTGAGAGCCTGGAACCCCAACAACATCTCTGGTAGCAGCTTAGAGTGAACCAGGGTTGTGGGACCACTCAGGTCTCCCTTGTCCGGGTGTTTCTGAGGATGAACCCCCCTTAAGGGTTTTGTATCTAAGATGGCGGAGTGGGCCCAGAGCTTGGCTAATGAATGAGATGATCATTTCATGGGCTCCAGAATTCCTGAAGAAGCTTTTATGGAGTGATAAGTG